AAATCCGTGGGGGTATATTCGAAAGCGGATAGCTTTCAAATTGAGATTCAAGTCCGAAAGGTTGTTTTTTATTTAGGTAGATGGAAAGCGAGCTGACGGATCACTTGTGTTAAGTGATAACTGCCGCCAATAGACATTGATAACTCCCGAATTACAGACGCGTTGCCAATACAAATTAATAAAATGGCCTCAAGGTACCCCTGTCGCACCAGACGAAACGCAGAAGCTCCACACTTCTACTTTACGCCGGTCTTCTGTGAGGTCGTGGTACTTACCCGGACGGACTTGCCCATTCGTGCAAGAGGACAGGTGCGTGCCCTACAAAATCCATATTATAATATTGTAAATGCGAAAGTAACTCTGTCTGTCTCGCTTTCACGTCAAAACTACTGAACCGATTTAAATGAAATTTGGTACACAGATAGTCTAGAGCCTGAGAAAGGACATAGGCTATTTTTAATTGGATTTTTTTTAAAGAAAGGTATTTATTTAAGGGCTTCAACGCGAGCGAATTCGCGGGCGAAAAGCTAGTATTGTATATGTGTGTGTAAGTAAAGTTAAAAAAAAAACAACATATATATAGTAATGAATACTACAGTGAAACAAAAGCAATACAAAATTCAAATTAACAACCTATGCTGTATTATAAAACCAAAATAATAATTATTTAAATTTAAAACGAAAAGAATTAAGTGTACGCCCTACTACTACTATTTATTTTATTTATTTTCATTATAGAAATCCATTTGGTAAGAGTGAAAAGAATGATTCTATTCTAGTACAAACATACGTACAGACACAGTCACGTACACGCGAAGCAAATTAACGCGATTATAATTGACGTCGCCAACAACCCTTTAAGCGAAAAGCGCTGGTGCACACTGCACTCTGCTGAATGCAGCTAAATGGGTCACACGTGGATCTCGGCGTTTGTTATTTCACGTTTTCAACATTATCCAACTTCCCGGCACACAATAGGCGAGTGTTCCCACAGGAATTGTTGTGACGGAATTTTTAACAGCATGTAGATACTGTTAAAAATTAGTTTAGTTTATCTGTGGGGATGTGATGTTTTCATAACGCGCTTTGCGCAACGCAATATTCGATTGAATCATTCGTTGGACGGGTAATCGAATAAGGCATATGGAGGCAGTACTTTGCTACGTAACAATGTCGTATATGAGAAATTTAGATTATCTACATATTTTTTCATAAGGTCTATTTTGCACTAATCGTCCTATAGGAAGAACCGATCTGAATATAAATGTGTAATGTATTGCTTGGCGTGTTAAGAACGAAGTCGAGGAATGACCTTGTAGAAATTCGAGGAAATTCAACTAAAGGAAATGGATATTACGTTATAAGTGGAAAACTAAAAGAAATGGTTGAACTGAGCGACGCTAATGGCTCGCTAGAGCGGTTATGGAATGTTTTAGAAGACTTAAAACGCCGTATATTATTACACATTCAACCTTTCATTCACTCTCGCTCGCATTAAAACTTTCATTCACTCTTGGGGCGCTAAAAAAATCAGCCGATAATTATTATGCGTCATTACGCACTATGAATTATGCATCCGCCGGCGTATTGCGACGGTTTCTAATCGGCGGCAATGGAGTCTCCATTGCCGCAGGGAAAACCGTCAAATTGTCCAGTTTCTCTGCGACCTGAAACGATCGATTGTAGAGTGCGGCCGCAAAAACTCCAACAAAGTCCCTGACACCGTTCCGAATTATCATTTCTAGAAAAAAAAAAAAGAAAAAACTTAATTATGTACGTCACGGACAGTTGCATTGCGATGTATCGTATTATATTTATTCCGTTTTCCGCATTGAATTTATTGTGTGAAGTTTATAGTTCTGACGAAATAAAGAAGCAAATATCATCATTGAGTTCCGATTTCAAATTTTACAAATATACGGGAATGTTAAGGCAAAACAAGAACAGTTAAATCTTACGGTTTCACTAAATTTCAAAAATTCAGATTTTAATAACAGACATTTAACGAGTCCAAACTAGAGTTTTATGGCATCTTCTATTTCAAATTTTTCATGATATATTTTATGATATTTTTCTTGTTTAAATATTCTCCAAGCAATCTTTTCATAACTCATTACGTTTCAATTTACAGCTAAACTGGTTTTATTCATCGTGTGTCATTTTCCATTGTAGATTTTAAGCTATTTCACACCTCAGTTTATCACTAGATATTATAAAACAAAGTCGTTCCGCTGTCTGTCTGTCCTTTTGTATGTTAGATCTTTAAAACTACGCAATGGATCTTGATGCAGTTTTTTTTAATAGACAGAGTGATTCAAGAAGAAGGTTTATATATATAATACATTGTAACCGTGCAAAGTCGGGGCGGGTCGCTAGTCGACTATAATTTTCACTAATTTGTTTACGTCTCACTGTATACTGCGGACCTGATTTTATTTAAATGTCCGTGATTTATATAAAGCGTTGCTCCATTAAAAATCTGCGAATAACCTTTCATTAATTTGTTCAGGATCTGTCTGTTTCCTTAGGAGGGTTGACGTAAGGCAGAAGGCCTGTCGTGAAAACATAGCCAAAAGTCCATACAACATGATCCACATGTTGTGCCGACCCAACTTAGATGGGATTAGGGCAGACGGATGAACTAGCCAGTACTAACCTATCTCCCCACCCACTAGTAAAAGTTACTACTTTTACCACGTACGAGTAGTGTAGTCAACAGAAATTCTAACACATTGCGATCCGCAGTTCCAATACCTTTTACATTCTGATTTACGGTCGAATAATTAAAAACAAAACGAAAATCGAAACGATAAAAAACTAGTTTCGAACGAAAAGACATTTACCGAGTAGACCCGGTAATTAATTGCGTCGATAATAACTCGTTAAGACGAGCCTCGAGGTCGATAAAAACACGTTCGTTTTAAAACAAAAACGCGAAGCAGACTTGTTGTCCCTTTGAGGCGTGTTATAAGAGCTTACGTAATTCTTGAGGTCCTTCGCGTTCCCTTTAATGGTGAGACACGACATTATCTTACTATTCATATGTTTAATTTGTATTATTTAAATACTAGTTATTGCCAATGGCGTCATTTGAGTTTATTAGTTAGTTATAGTTTGTGTTACGTGCAAGATTGTAGTAGAGAAAAATCCTGCCTGAATTACATTCCAACATCAAAAATCTTATCATCTCATGACTAGTACTATTTTTAGATAATAGAGCAGGAGCCTTATCATCCTTTAAATCGAGACTCTGTTCTTAATTTACCAGACAGAGATCTAGCTTCTGCGAGCCCACTGTGGAGTCTGCAGAGGTGCTTCCTCGGACGAGTCCACTCAAAGAAGCTACGAGCCACTGCAAAGCAAGTAGCTGCTTGATTCTGCCATAAACTTATCAATAAGGATCATAATGAGTGAAAATAGATATTTCCTGAATAAACCATACAAAACAGAGTTATAATGTTATAATACCTTTAGTAATATTATTCGCGATTACTCACCTCAGGTATACGGTAAGTATTTTGTACCATTATATCCGTTTATTTGTATTTGGAGTATTTTGGACCGATAGCCAAGTGATAGCTACAAAAACGTTAAAATCGTTAGCGAAGCGTTAAAATTGTTTTTTGACAACGTGACGACCGAACAGACCTCTTGGACGTGGGAGGCTTTTTGTTAAGAGTTGACGAAATCTGAGTCGTTTATATAATTTTTAGCACGTCACATTCGAGCCATCACAATACTTTTTTTTATGTGAAAAGTTGCCAAGCGAGCAGACGGTTCACCTGATGTTAAGTGAATACCGCCACCCAGGGACATCTGCTACAACCGAGGGTTACAGATGCGTTGACAACCTTTTGAAAATTGGGCTCCGACCACCTCACTCACCAGACGAAACGCGAAAGTATAATAGTTCCAGTTTACGCCGGTCTTCTGTGAGGTCGTAGTACTTACCCGGACGAGCCTGCCCATTCGTGCAACAGCCGAGGCTGCTGCATGGCCCTACCACCGCAAAATTCCTCTTCTCTTTATAATATTTATACAAAAAACACAAGCTTGGTTGAGTATACTAATATCATCTTCCTAAATAAGCAATCGTGATATGATCTTAGTGTACCCAATACACTAAGATCATATCACGATTGTTGTCTTATAGTACTACGTGTATTAACGACGGCAGTATCAAAAGAATACACTTTCGATGAAAATTCGACAACTATAAAATGTTAATAATCGACTTAAAGGAATAACAAGGGAGGTGAAAGGAACATGAGTTTTTGTGGTACACAGTGTTGGTGTCATAATTAATATAATTGTCATGTTTTAAATATTTTACGTAAGTTTTACTGTATTAATATTTGTGATAGTTTGCGATAAATCCGAAATAAATTAAAACAGAACTACGACTGTTTCACAACTTTAATAGTTGGAACAAACATCACATTTGTTACGCTTATCACATGATCGTTTCACTTTTTTAAATAAAGTTATTCAAAGACGTTTTAAGTTTATTCTATTAAGTTAATGTACTGTTTAAATTACTTCAAACATTAGAAAGTTTAATTGGACTCTCCATTTAATACGAGAACTCGTAAGTCTGTGATGGTGCTATTAGGTCCCACTAATGACAGATAACGCACATACAAAACCTATTAAACTTCATATTACATCAGAACTACAAATAAATAGACAGCAACAAATCATCTCGAAAAGGAAACAAATCGTGCCTAAATATAATTAAATTATAAATTTAGTTAAGGAACAAACGATTTATTTATAAATCCACAACACTAAACATCATAAGGAAACAATAACTGCATTCACAGCAGGTCCATGTAAACGAGCGCATTATGTCCTTCAAACAACTTTTTCGACCAGTTTTCATAACTCGATATTATGTCACTCGAAACTAGAACTCGCGATGAACGCGTAGGAGAGTTCTACGGGTGAGACTCAGTTCTAGGGGAGACTGTAAGAAGCGAGGGCAATACTCTACCACTCACCGGATTTCCTCTTCTCGTTGACAATCACCAGGGACTTGGTCCTTTTGACTCTTAGCGAGCGCCTCCGTATGGAGCGCATAAGAGCCTCCGGCATGCGAGAGAAGCGCGGGGAATCGACCCGCTTCTCAGGCATAAAGAAGTTCTTGACGGCCAACATTGTCCGACCAAACAGTACAGAGTTTGAATCCGATCAACGCATTTCCCGAACGCAGCGAGTCAGATGTAACAGATGTAACTTGGAGGAGCGTTCGGAAAGCGACACTAGTTCACAAAACAATAGCACTGTTCGGAAACAAATGGAAGCGGACAGACGTCGCACCTGTGTACACTTTTATTCAAGTCCGCGACACATCACAAGGTCGAGCGAATCCACGAAATTCGCGACACGCGAATCAGTCGCTCCGCTCTCCACAACTTCGTTGCCGGGCAACCGCTGATGCTCTATTGTTTCCGTTCCATCGCTATTGCGATCACTGTGATGTGCTGACAGACCGTAAGGGACTGATCGGCCCAGTTCCGAGGTCTTACGCGAGTTCGGCCCTCGGGAGCGTAGAGCACTCGCTCGAAAGACGTCCTACCCGCAGCAGAGACGGCGGCACACTGAGCCGAGTTATCGCGTGCGGCGCGGCGGGGCGCGTCCACCTGGCGTTGCGTCGGCGATATTTCGCCTGTTATCAGAGTTTACCTATTCCGGGCGCAATGTCAATAGATCCGAATCAGATTCACTGTTCACCGGCTAACGAGAACGGGGGAAATGGTGCGTTGTTTAATACTCGCTTACGTCTTATTGACGTTCTCTTCGGAGGTATTTGTTTCTTGTTTTAAATATGAGGAGACAAACTGCGCTGGAACAAGCTCAGCAGGTAATAAGTGATCACTGCAGCTTATGTATATGAGCAGTACCTGGAGGATTATAAATGTGAGAAGACGGCTTTGGAGAGGTGAGCCTTGAGAACCACAAACCATTGAATGAAACACAAAATTACAAAAGCCTCCGACTGACGCCCATCTTTTCAACGGTAGTTTTCGGTTGACACGGCCGATTTGTGTATCAACAAATATTGTATGAGTTGTAGAGATATAGAGTTTTTCCTCTACCCCATACAAATAAAAATCGATTACTGAGTACCCGTTACCGAGTACTTATTTTAATCGGAAGACTGAAACCTCGAGTAAATTTGCACGATGTCCGCTGTAATGATTCCTATCATAGAATTTCTGCGCGTCGCACGCGTTAGCGCTAGCTAATCAATTAATTTATGTGCTCTGTCATTCCGTAAACGACTTTACACAGCTAAATTATCGCACAAATGAGACGACTGGTGGCTGTTGCTTGGTTAGATTCACAGAGTATGTTTCATTTAAAAATCTTGAGTGTTTACTGAAATAACTATTTAAAATTTACTAAAACTTTATCTAATGAGATATAATAGAATTTTTTTATGCGAAAAGTTGCCAAACGATCAGACGGGTCACCTGATGTTAAGTGAATACCGCCGCCCATGGACATCTGCTCCACCCGAGGGTTACAGGTGCGTTGACAACCTTTTGAAAATTGGGCTCCAGTTACCTCACTCACTAGACGAAACGCGAAAGTATTTGTCATACTTCCACTTTACGCTGGTCTTCTGTGAGGTCGTGGTACTTACCCGGACGGGGCTTGCCCATTCGTGCAACAGCCGAGGCTGCTGCGTGGCCCTACCACCGTAAAATATGATAGTAGTAGTAAGTAATAACAGCTTATATGTAAGGACCACAACTGTGCAAGGTTTACCTTTGTAAACAACGTTTAAAAGTACAGTCCATCACGCCTCCCCACTGCGGATTGGCAGACTTCACACCTCTTCCATATATCTTTTTATTACTTCTTAGCATGCACCTACCATATATGTTTTTATTCTTCTTAGGCAACCTGCATGTACCCCTCACAATGTTTTTAATTTTACTTCGCCGCCACGCACGTGATAAATAAGAACTAAAAATTCAGATGACTCCGTGGCGCAGTTGCTAAAGTATTGGCTTCGGCGTCGGGGCTCGTGGGTTCGATTCCCACACGGGACAACTATTTGTGTCACCCACAGATAGTTGTTTCGCATCTGGGTGTTTGTCCGCGTGAAATTTATGTTTGTAAAACGTCCTTACAACACAGGATAATATTATCCTAAAGTAAGGGCAGTGTTTAAAAAAAAAAAAGAGAAAAAAAAACAATTTCATTGGTGCTGGCGGCGGCACTGGGATCTCGAGTTGTTCAAATTTACAATTGAGGAGTAAAAAGCAGCGTTCGGGCACTGGATGGCCACGGCATATAATGAGATTTAATATAGATTAAAGAAACTTAGCCACAAATGCAGGGCTACTTACATAAAATATGAAGCACTTAGGTCGGAATCTTGATACAATAATTCGACCTAATTAATCTTTCCGTATCCAAAGGGTGTAAGGGGCCCCTAATACTAATACTCCGCTGTCTGTCTGTCTATCTGTCTGTCTGTTCCCGTCGGTCCGTCTGTCGCCAGGATGAGATACTCATGAACCTTGATAGTTAGACCGTTAAAATTTTCACAGGTGATGTATTTCTGTTGCCGCTAAAACAGATACTAAAAAACAAAATAAAAAAATATTTAAGTGGGGTCCCCATACCACAGACATGATTTTTTTGTTGTTTTCATAGATAATTACGGCACCCTTTGTGTGCGACTCTAACTCGCACTTGGCCGGTTTTATATAAACCCTGCTATAGACACAGAGGCAACAGAAAGGAAAGCTCGTCAATTATCTGTCACTTATTCGCTCCTAGCATAGACTTTACATCTATCTACATATATTCCCAGATTATACCAAATCATAAAGTCCCTCCCGCCAAGTATTCGCTATTGAGATTACAAGCGCTTCACTTCAGTATACAGTTTCCTTGCTAAACGACGGAAGCAGTTGTCATAAATTTGCATAGCACTTTGTTGCAAAACCTCTCGCTACCGTATGATATTTTGCACTTTCTCTTCAACTAGGTTTTAGCGTTTAGCAAGTTTGACGAGCCTTTATTTATTGCGTAAGTGAGAAGCGAAAATCAATACCTAACTTTGCATACAAACACTAAAACCCTGGTCGAATCAAGAAGCGAAAAAAGCGATATTTTAAAAGTATTTACATGTATTTTATTTAAATAATATAAGCATTTTACTTTCTGTCTGTTTCACATTGTTACATCGCTTCTTTACCTGTCAATTGGTTTGCTGAAAGAAAATATTTAAGGCTCTTGCACATATTTCATGTTTTCCAACAGTTATACCATAATTATATTTTCAAACACGCTGTGGGTACTTTAAAATTTCCAGAAAAACTGACGACAAGCTTCAAGGATTTGATTGAGATGGCGCCAAGCATTTCTTAAAATAAAATAAAACCAAAAGATACGTTGAGATTATCGGTTGGGAAGATATGCCGTCTAATTCGGTGATTAGAGTCAGGTCAGGTAAGGCGGATTATGCAGGTTCAAATCTTAAATTTCAACTTAAGAGCAGAGAATGGCACTATTATAACGTCTGTCCGTCTGTCACCAGGCTGTATCTCATTAAACCGTGATAGTTAGACGGTTAAAATTTTCACAGATAATTTTATTCTGTTGCCGCAATAACAACGAATACTAAAAAGATATTTAAGAATAAAAAAAATAAAAAAACTATTTAAGAAGGCTCCCATACACAGACGAGAGGCGGTTGTTAGGCAACCTATAGGTTACGGAACCCTTCGTGTGCGAGTATGACTCGCACTTGGCCGGTTTACCTACATAGGCTTTAGAGACAAAAGATGAATTATTTATTTATTTATTTATTTAAAGAACGCCAACATAATGTACACTATTTAAGACTTAGGAGAATAAATATACATCAACTGTTCGTTAGTGTCATTAAAATTAAAGGCGCTGACAGCATGCAATATAATGGGCGAGAAAAATACAGTTGAAGATATTTTTTTTTTGTTACAAAATCCAAAATTAAAAAAAGAATTAATAAATTAAAAACAAATAATTGATAAAGGAAATAACAGTAAAAAACATTAAAAAGAGTGATAAACAATGAATTTAGGTATGATTATGATGATGAACAGTGCAATAAATTTAGGTATGATTTATACATGGACTAATAATACTATTTAGGTTTCTACAAGTAAATGGGGAGATCAGGAAATCTGTTGGACAATAAACCAGGCGAAAACAGTTGAAATGAGTAACAACAATCTGTGATTATTATTATTTAATTAGTTGTTTAATACTAACAACGCAGGTAAATCGTACGACCGAAAAAGAAATATGTCACCATTTTACAAATTAAGAATGATCATATTACAGGTGCTAATCAGTCTCCAAATGACATTAAAATGGATCTGTGAATTTATGATAAATTGGTAATTACATTGTAATCATCCCATTACAACGACGGTCAATAAATTTAAAACCCGTTTATTTTAGTCGAAGTCGGCCATGAAAAAATAATATTTATGTTATGTATTGGGATGTTCCGGCAAACATCCAAATTATATAAAATAAAAGAGGACAGTACGAATAATTAAAATACATGAATACCTAATCTTCTCATCACGTAGGATTCCATTTTGCCCGAATGTGTTGTATCTATAACTAATAAAAACTAACCCTACACTACAGAATTATTTAAAAAAATATTAAGTTACTCATCTAAGTTCTGATATAAGTTTAACAGTTTTAAGTATACATGTCTAAGGCGCACAGACCATAAAGCGCTTAGCGCTGTATTTCATAACGATCGCTATTGGAGTCGTGCAATTTCTTATCGCGGCATCGTAACGGCAAGCACGATATTACAACTCACAGTTTCTTAGCGTCCACTCTGGTTAGACCTCCCACACTTACCGCAGCCTCAAGAAAACTGACCTCCGCAGAGGGATCGATGCCACCATCGTGGCTCCAGTTATGATGATCACGATATATTATTTAGCATTTCCGTATTTATTTATAAATGCTGCATCATTCTAGTAGTTATTGATCAGCCTTAGATTGGGCAGCGAAACTTCTTTCAAGAGTGGCAATTTATTTTTTATAGCTGAGATACACATTTTATAATTTATCCAAACATTTTTATTCGATTATACCATTTGCACAATAAGGGCAGTATGTAGGATTCTGAATTTTAAATCTAGCAAGAATAGACATTACACACAATTGTGAAAAAATAACTGTAAAAGACGAAGACCTGTATAAAAAGGTTTTTCGTTGCAATGGAATGGACGAGCCATAAACTTGGATGTTTTATCGCTACGTATATGTGAATTTTTAGAGCGATGATACTATTAAATGACATAAATCGTTTACCGAAACAATAACATAACAAATTCAGCGTACAATTCGGAGAAGCGCGTTCACGATAAAATCGGTCCCATGTTCAATTATGGCCTGATGATGGCCCGACCATTTTGGGAGTGCCACCGCCCGCGACGTCCAGGACCAGCCGCGAACCAAACCGGTTGTGGCGCCCAAGCATCCTGCGCCGCCGTAAAAACACGATTGCCCATGACAAGACACGGGGCACTTTCGGTGTTGACGCGCACCAATGTTTTCCAGAATCATAGCTAGCTTTACATGTCATGCATTGTAATGCCACATTTGTAAAGAAAAAATGCTTGCAATAGTTTTTGTTTCTCCATAGAGGACAAGTATGCAAACGATTTTTTTCAGGTATAGAATTTTTTTACAGTGTACGCACAACTACTCATCAAAGTTTCAACACAATCAGATGTATTATACAAGAAAGCATACTGACAAATACACTTTTTTGTAATTTTCTTAAAAAAAAAAAAGAAAAATGTTATCCAGAGTTATAGTTGGAAGACGTGGGATTTTATTATGCGTAATAGTAGTCCTCCTCTACATGAAAAGAACCGACTGCGTGCACTACAACTTTGACAGGACAGCTATGAAATGACTTTCACCTACGCAACTCCAGAGCAAAATAACAAGGCGCCGGATTCGTTGCCCACGCACCTGTCCACCAACGCGTGTTGAAGTATTTATTACCCCGTCTCTTTTCAATACGCCATGAGATAATACAAGAAAAACTGAGTGGTCGAAATAGTGTAGGCCTTAGATAGTACCTTGTGGAACACCAACGCAGTTGAACAATTTTATTTAAAGTTTTCTTAAAAATTGAGACATCGAAAACTTACATCTAATTTCATTTATCTAATTTCTTCTTTCAACAAACTGCTCTGTACATTTCTATAATAATTATTGACCATTATGTTGCTTTACTTGTGTAAAGCAACTAAAGTCATCAATAGAACTAACTAAACGTGACTTTTAAATAAAACAAAATATTAGTATAAAAAGTACACCTAAAAGGAGGCGAAGTGAAAAAGTTTACACTATTTTAAAACGATATATACTATCTGTGGTTTAATAGTTTTAAAACTATGAATGTACTACAGAAAAAAAAAATCAAATGATGGACTTTCGTTTGTTTACGAACAACAAAAGCGGTTAAACATTCATTAAACTACAATTAAAACGCGGTCAGATTATTTTCAACAAAGCGATGGTGGATTTTATGACTGTGCTAGATCATGAATGGAAGCAATAAAAGATTTTACGAGCGCTGTTAAGAGTGCATTAAGAAAAAATAAAATCGTAAAGTTTATCAAAGTAAATTTATTTAACAATCGGCTTGAGAAAAGCAAATAAGAGTGGTACAGACAGCATGTTTTGAAATATTGGGTGTAGTCACATACTCGTCAACAATCAGGTGCGGTATTAAATCTGTTTTATATATTATACATATTTCTCATATAAAAAAAAAACAACAAAGGGGTGGCTAATAGTGGTAATGACATGTAACGATTTAACATTACACAGGTTATTTGATTAGGATTTTCGACTGGATAAAAACATTTATTAGTTTTTATTCATGTTGACTTTTGCATAAGAATGACTTCATCTCTCATATTACCTATCGAAGTATTTACCCGGACGGATCTGCCCACTTGTGCAACAGCCGAAGCATGTCCCTACCACAATTAAAAGCATCTGCTAATGTTAGCAACTGGATATTAGTCTTGGACCATGAGCATTATTAATAACGGATATTGACTCTTACCGTCACACGTTAAGTGAGAATGGAGTATAAAGCGTTTAGTTAAAAGCGGGAAAGATAGGAGATGTTATCGCTTTCACCTTTATTAAATTTTCGGTCGGTCGCTAAGGAAGGCTCTAGACCTGAACCAACTGCCACAAAATTAGTGTCATTTCGAAGAAGCATCAAGTAAAAATTACTACGAAACAGCCAAATATGCACACAAAATAGAGATATGCTATCTCCTAATATAATTGTGTAGTATATTCAACGAAACTGCGTCTGAAAATAAAAAGCCGTAAACTATATTTTGTTTTTTAGGACAGCCCATTCATACAAGACGGCGCCGAGAATCGCACGAAGTAGTAAAACACTCACCTAGCGTAATGACCTGCTTCAACGTAAGGTTTGGCCTATTTCCAAAGATTCTCGATAAACTCAGGTGACTAGGGTGTAACTGGTATTGAAGGCGTCGTATGTATTAAAACTATCTATATATAGCTAGTGATATGGTGTTAAATAAATAGGGGATTTACCTGATTGTTTTTTAAAAAACAATAATCATTTATATTTCCACGATATCGTCATTATTATTTTATTCCACCTAAATGAAGGGAGACAATAATGTCAGATAGTGTTCTTCGGTCGCCGGTTAAGTCTTATGTGAATTTTTTTCCACATCAATTGAAAGTTTATGACAGCGAAAGCACGCTATTCGCGCGCGAAATGAAAATTATTACTGGCTCCCGCAAGGGACACCCTTAGCGCCCAACTTGTTCATACTCCACGAGGGTGCCGAATTATCGAATGAAGAAATGCACAATGGGACGGGAACGTAGCTTATTCCCGACGCCAATAAATACGTCATCACTACGCCTGACACAGCCGAAGGGCCCGATTAGTTTACGATCCGAAACCGAAACGAGCGATTTACGACCGCCGCCCCGCGTTAGTCACGAACGATAGCGCCGATTATATCCGAATAATTTATATGCGAAGCGGAATCGATCGGGCGTATTATCGATCGTTAATTCGATCACTGCCATTACGGCGCGATTTCTCACGAGACGTAACACTGTGTGAGGAAGGTGCACAATAATAGATGGAGGAATTTCACATTTATTTGTAAAGTGCGAAGCATCCCGCGTATCTATTCGCAGCACGTATGCTCAGCGCAAGGTTTCCGTTTACGTTATGGGATCTGATACGATTTTAAAACAATAAACATCTAACAAACACAAACACTATTTATTGTTTATTGCCTTAACGTTAACAAAGTTTAGAATTAAAATCGATAAAGTTTCTCGTGTGTTACAAAAATAATTATTCTTATGTCAAATACAAGAAAGAACTCTTCTTATCGAAATATATTATAATATTGCAGCCGTACGGCCATTGTGTTCTGTATTCAAAGTCCTGACATAAAAAAAGACTACACGTATATTATGTAGTTAGAAAAAAAAGAAAGAAAACATAAAATGGCAGACTGGTTAACAATGAAAAACATTGGACTTTCTCCATTATAGTGTAGTAGAAAAGATAGTGATTTGTTATTTAATTCTCTCTATTGTTAACGAGACGATGTATTCTACGTGCATATTCACAGATCACAACTTGTATGGTTGCACAATAATAGCTTTTACTCGCGGCTTCAGTCGCGAAGCTCTCGAATTGAAATTATCATTTTAACGTGCTAATTTTCAAATTGCCCGCTTTTTAAAACTGTCAACGCATTTTCAAGCCCTCAGGTATTGTAGATGTCCATGGGAGTTGATCTTCACTTTTCATCAAGTGAAACGTCAGCTCGTTTGTCACTTTTTCATACTAAAAAAACAGGTTTGCCTACCAGCAGGCGGCAAACCAAATTTGAAAAACCAAACCAAACCAAAATCTGTTCAGGCACGTGAAAAGTTGGGATACAAAAACGTTTTACGCAAATAACCATCGAATTTGTAATTATGTAATAGAAATAGCGGACCTGACGTTGTCCCGTACACACGCCTAAAATCCGACGACAACTTATTAATAAAAAAAAAACAAAACAAACAAAAATTACACCAAAATCGGTCCAGCCATTTAGGAGGAATTCAGTCACATAATAAAAATAAAGATAAATTTATATGTGTTTATATAAAAATGTACTCAGTTTACCTTGAGATATGATAAAATTGGATGGAAATTAAAAAAAGGTCCGTCATTTAATTGAATGCATGTCTGAACTGAAAGTGCTTTACGAATTTTATCGCCATAATTTCAGTTTTTTACGACATCCATATTTACTGGAGAACTATAATTTTTATATCATTTCTTTTCATTTCTCTTCATTTTTTTTTTATAATTTTTATATCATTTTTACTTTGTACTGAGCACTGCTAAGTGCTCTGTACTGTTACAGCGTCTAATTTTGCACCATGTATGTAGACGAAAGTAAAGAATTTATGTGTTCTGTTCATTATTTAAATGTTCTGTTCGCATATTATATAAAGTGGAATTACTCAAATTATGTATTT